GGGTGAGTGCGCGCGAGGTGCGCGGCGACAGGTTGCGAAGCGTGGCCCGCCGGCAAGGCTTCAGGGCGGTCCCAGCTGGAAAGCACGCCGAGACGCGTCTCGCGCGGCCCGACTGCGCGATCAAGGCTGCCGTTGAGGGCAGGTAAGGGCCAACGATCTACGCGGTCTCCGCCCCGCAGCACTCCTCACATGCCGCGGCCTGAGGACCGTAGAAAGCCTCAAGCCTGGCAGCATGATTCCGCGCCGAGCCAGCCTTGGAGAACCACAGGTGGCGCAGGGTGGACAGATCGTCCTTGAGGTCACTCAGGCTCTTCAGCGAGTTGAACGACCAGCTGTCGCGCCTCAGAGACCCCGCGGGACCCCGCTGACCCTCCGAGGAGAGCTTCTCGCCACCGCGCCCCATCTCTGGTGATGGGCGGGCTCAGGCGTGGGGTGGAGGTGTGCTGGAAAAGTCGCGTGATCGCGACCAGACGGCGGGAGAAAGCCGAGGATTGAAGAATGTGCGTGTATGAGGGTGGCAGAGGCTGTTTGGGCGACTGCAGCACCCGTCACACCCGCGATTCGAAGGGCATCAGGCATCGCCAAGGCACAAGCAAGGGACATATACCAGCCCTGCACCGCACTGGCCGTTCATTCCTTGTTATCGTACGTCAAACAAGCCACACTAGTGGTGGCCCGGACGCGAGTCCGCGCGCGGGCTGCGCTTCGGTCAAGCATGGCCGCCGTTTTGGCGTGGCCAGGGTTGCATGGCAGCATGCGCACACACGGGTTGCTGCGCCTCAATTACGACACTCGGCAGCACCCGCACCCCCGCTGTGCGCTTGAGACATACTGGTGAGCAGATTCCAACCACCAGGGCACCGAACGACCCAGATGACGGACGGGCCTTCGGTTGTGATTACTCACGATGAATGCGGGTGACGCCACGGCGCCCGCTCCACCACCGTGCGTGCGACGACGGTTGGGAGGCAGGCCTTTCTTCATGGGGTGGCGCAACAGCATCCTTCACGGCTCACCACCAACCCCGGCTGGGCAGCCACAAGGCACCCACATGGCAGGGGTGGGCAGGAGGCAAACCCCAGTTCCACGTGCACGGCTGCGACAACCGCCGCTGCCCATCAAGCCACTGTGCCCGCCACTCAGCGCAAGCAGGCAGCAAAGCATACACATACACATACACAATAGTGGCGCTCGTGAACGCCACCGCCGCCGCCGGGGCGCCAGCTGTGCGCTGGAGAGGAGGCGGAGGCTGGCAGGTGGGGCCCGCCCGCCGCGCGGCGCAAGGCGCCGGCGGCCGGCGGAAGAAGGCAAAAGCACCGCCGTGCACGCACGCCGCACGCAGCCGTCTCGGCCGCGGGGCGCGCGCGGGGGTGGGGGGAGGGGGGCTCCCCGACCCTGCAGCGGTCTGCAAATGGGGGTCGTTTTGTCTCGGTCCGCTGTGCTTCGAGGGGCGCCTCCAATCAGGTGGGGCCGCGCCCTCCGCGCCAGACAGGGGGCGCGCAGCTGGCGGGCTCCGCGCCGCTCGCGGGGCGCTGGAGGGGATGAGAACACACGGGCGCAGCTCTCGTGAAAAGAAGAGCGCGTGGAGCGCGGCCGCGGCAAGGGGGCGGCGCGCGTCCCGGCGGCCCGCGCGGGCGGGCCGCCCGTGCGGCGGAGGAGCCGGGGGTCAACTGTGATACAGCCGATTGAAGGGTGCCTGCGGCCCGGGGGCGGCCGGGGCGGGCATGCGCGCTGCTGCCGAGGGGGCCGGGGCGCGGCCTTTCCAGATAGGCGCACCACGCGCGGCGCGCCTGTCGGCGGCCGTCGCTCGCAGGCCGTCAGACGCGCTCCTAGGCTCGCATAGGGCGGGCAGCCGGGGCGGGGCCGGTCGACGTGGGGCGCGCACGTGCACGTGCGGCTCAACGGAGGGCGCGTGCATCGCCGCCGCGGTCCACGTCGGAGCGGATGCTGAGAAAACACGAATCTGTGCATTCGACAACGCTTTGGACCGCGGAGGGCCCAGAGCAACGGCCCAGGGCAGGGCGACAGCAGACGGGGACCGACGGGCGCGGCCCTTTGGGGGCGCCGCGCCGCGCCGCACGAAGGGCTTCTTCTGGAACCAAGGGCAAACGATGAATCCCCTTGAAATCAGTCTCCGACGGAATGAACAAAGCAAGTTTGCTAGGGCGGCAGCAGGCCCGCGCGGCGGGCGCACACACACGAGCGCCCGGCGCAGCCCACTGCGGCCGCGAAAGTCAAACGCACGGACGCCGCCGCCGCCGCCATGCGCGGCGCGGCGCGGCGCCGAAGAAGGGGGCATTTGGCATCACGACTCCGCTCCTTTCCGCGTAATAAACCCGGGCCCTTGCGGCCCGGCGGCCACGGGGCGCGCGGCGCCGTCGAGGCGCCGGCTGCGGCCGACGTTGCGCTCGACAAATTCCCTCCTCGATTGGCTCTACCACTCAACTGCTGCGAACTTCGGCAGCTGCTGCTGCCTCTGCGGCCGCCACCGCCGTGGCTTCGACACCGGCTGTTTCCCACGGCGACAGCCGCCGCCTTGGCAGCTTCCGCTGGTGCAGTTTCACCCTCGGCAGCTTCGACTTTGGCAGCTTCCACGTCCGCAGCTTCCGCCCGGCTTCCTCCTTCTCAGGCGTCGTAGCTGCGGCCAGAGGCGGTGACGCGCACCAGGGCGCGCTCGGGGGGCACCAGGTAGTAATCCTCTGATGAGTCATGGGG